ATAAGTAAGGCCCAAGAGATATTGTTTTATTGTGCCCCTGTGTGTGTTTTGATTTGCTACCGCTTTTGTTGCATATGTTGTTCTTATTTGTGTTATACATTCTGTGGAAGGTTGCTGTGTCTCTTAGGAAGTTTATTAGGTTGTTTTCGTTCTCATGTGAGTTATTGTATATTGATATATCTGAGGTTTGGTGTTTTTCTCTTTTGTAGACAACGAAGCGATTGCAGTAAAACACGTCAACCGTTTCAACCCCTGGTTCCAAGTATCCAAGTATTTTTATGCCTTGTTAATAGTGATTAGTCCTCAGGTTACCTGGACCGAGGATGATCTTGAAACAAGTTAGAAAATAGTTAGTTAGTCCTCATCTATGTGATTCCTAATCTTATATTCGTTGTTCCATAGTTTTAAGTGATTAAGACTAAGGTTCTGATGCATGGTCATTATCGGTGTCATTGTTTAATTTTGTTTGTTTTGTAATTGTGTTTTGAGATTCCTTAATCCAATTTTGACTGACAAAGGGGCGCGCCTTTGGAGGGCGCCCCAACAAACAATTTTAGCTGCAATTCAGCTTATACAGCCAAAAACTACCTGCATAAGGCAAATTTTGGCTGTATAAGCTAGTCTGCAGCTAAAATTGTTAGTTGGGGCTCTCACTCTTCGTTATACCCTTTGAAACCTTTCAATAAGAATCGATTCCTTGCAATAACGGCAAGAATGACACCTGTATCAAAACCGAATACTTCATTATTTCTCAATAAGGCTTGTACTCGAAAAAATGCACCATTTTTATCCGTGTGTAACTTTTTTATGCGTGGGTAAAAATTGATGAAAATCTGGGTATAACTAGTTTGGAGTGAATTGTGTGAATTTCATAACAATCGGTTCAGTGGTTATTGAGATGTCGTCGAAACAAGAAGAAAATCGCCGGAGAATTTTGCGCGCCGTCATGGAAAATCCGACTGCGACCATGAGATGGATCGGAAGACAACTGGGAATCACCCATACAACTGTGTCTCGGGTGGTAAATCATTTAAGGAGTCCCAGACGACCGAGTGGCGGGCTGGAAGTGGAAGAAAATCGAAGACAGCTGACCCTGTGAAGGCCCGAAAGGTGTTGGATTATTTCAAGCGTAATCCGAACCATTCGATTCACGACGCGGCTCTGAAGGCAAAGTGTTTCGCCTGGTTCGTTCAGCAAACCATGCAATGAGCTGGGCTTCGTGTATTCAAGGTCCGGAAGGCACCGAACCGGCGTGATCAACAAAACACGGTGGCCAAATCCCGCGCAAGGAAGCTGTATCGAGGGTGGTTAACGAAACCGATGTATGTGGTTATGGATGACGAAACCTACATCAAGGCAGACGCAAAGCAGATACCGGGGCTGGAGTTCTACGTTGCCAAATCACGGTTTCATGTTCCGGAAAACATAAGGAAGAAGAAAGTGGACAAATTCGCCAAAAAATACTTGCTCTGGCAGGCCATATGCCAATGCGGTAAACTGAGTAAACCGTACATCACAATGGGTACCATCGACAGCGAAAATTACCGCACCGAGTGCCTCCATTAGCGTCTGTTGCCCTTCCTGCGGTCCCACGGAGGCGAGACATTATTTTGGCCGGACCTGGTATCATGCCATTACGCGCGATCGACGTTTGATTGGTACAGAGATAATAACGTTGTTTTTGTACCAAAAACCACCAACCCCCCAAATTCACCAGAGATTCGTCCGGTGGAAAGATTTTGGGCCATAATGAAGGCCAAAGTTCGAAAATCGTCCAAGGTGTTTAAGAACGAGTTGGAGTTGAAGAAATAATGGCTCCACTATTGCACAAAATGTAATGAGGGGTCTTAAGGGAAAGGTGCGGGCTTTCAGCGATGGAAAGGAAATTGAATAAAGTAATTATGCTGAAACATAATCCATATGTATAAGTTCATTCCCTGAAAGTTTCAAGAAAATCCGACTTAAAATAAATTTTTGGCGAATACTTTTGCCTGGTGCATTTTTTTTTTGAGTACAGGCCTTAGTGATGGAGTAATATGACATGCACTGAGCTAAGGACACGGTATATACTACAATAGATTTAATTACTGGTCGCAGTGGTTTTACGTCCGAACAGAGGGAAAAAATGGTATTCTATAAAAATTTCGAAAGAAGTTCCAGGAATTTCAGGAAAGTCCCGACTGCTCCAGAGAGCTTAAGAATATATCGGATTATCCGATTATCGATTCGGATATCTAACTGAAACTTCACAGTAGTCCAGAGAACTTCAGGGATGTTTAAATGGTTTCAAATTCAGTTCCATTCATATCTGGACAGTACCAAGAACGTCAGTGGCCTCTGATAGCCTAGTCAGTAAAGACACGTTACTACCATGCCGAAAACTCGACTCCCGGTCTGGCCGAGGAAATTTTTCGGGTTGGAAATGTTCTCGACTTCCCTGGACATAGAGACAAATTCCTGCATTGGCTGGCATATAAAGCTCTCAACTAATAACTGTGGAAGTGAATCTAGAACACCAAGTTAAGAGCTGGGAAAATGCTCGCTACAGAAGTGCAAAAAGTCTAGAAGAAGAACCAATGAGAACCGAATTTGCCGTAATTGGAACGCTCCATAATAGGAACGTTTAACCATAACTGTACACCCACCCTATTACAATTATGGGTGCTCTTGAAAGGGGCACATGCATGGTGGTGGGCAGAGCGCGCACTTCTAAAATCATTAAGTAACCAGGTCTGAATTTACCCGTTTCTTGACGCGTGCAGTATCCTATACTTGATGTTTAAATACATTTGTTCCATCCATAAGTTCACTCCGCAGAATTCCATGCTTCTAAGGAAATGCTGATGTCGATGAAGAAAGGGAATCCGAAATGTTTGCAAGTTTAACCTGGTTTAGAGCTAGGGAGAAGCGAAAAAAAAATAAGTATGGAAAATTTGGTCGAATGCCATTTCACCGAACGCCATTTCACCGAAAGCCTTTATGTTGCTGAGTTTAGGGGGGCAACTGTAACTTCAGCCCCCCTCTGGCTACGCATATGGAAATACCCTTCTTCATTATTTCTTGCTCTGATATTCACATCTGTTAATTTGAATTCCTCCAGACACGAAAAGCCCTCAAAACATTCCTCATAAAGCCAGAGAAGTGGAAAAATTTGCCACGCGGTCCTTTGCAAATCGTTTCTATTGTAAAAATTTCTTACGAACACTTTTTGCACATCTATACACTGTACTTTTCTAAGGCCTCTGGCAGTGTGAATGCGAGTGACCGAGTGAGCAAAAAATCATATTAATAATTATTATTCCTTTTGCTCGCATTCACTAGCCTAGCTACAAAAATGCAAAGAGCTTATGTTTTAAAAAACTACAAGGGACAGGCCTATGGGGTTGTACGCAATGGTGACGTAGGACTACATGGTCTTATATAATAAATCTTATTTGTTAACTGCAGCAGGAGCTTATGTTTTGTGTAGGAATAGGAATTTGAGGGTTCTTTCTGTTTATACTCTTTAGTATGAGGCACTTGGCATAGATGGCCCAGAGTGACTCACGAAGAGCTACTGATTCCGATCAATAGCGTAGCTGCTTCTTCCTCCTTCTATGGATGCCCATGTGGGCTGCAGCTCGCTGCTTGCAGGCAGCCTTTCGTTGTGTACTGGAGAACAATGTTGAACGCCACGCGTCGAAAGCACTGCTGCTGCTGCCGACGATCAGACACTACCACACACGGTGATTGGAATTGAATTCAATCAGTAGTTGAGGCCAGCCTTGATAGATAGCTGCTCGCGGGGAGCATTTCGTTGTGTACTGGAGAACACCAACACTCACCACGCGGTGATTGAATAAACACAGTATGGTGAGACCGGATAGAATTCAACTTTGAAATCTGTGTTAGGGAAACCGCTTTTCGCAGGCAATCGGTGATAGTTTTAATTATCATAGCAACTGTTGCACATTCGTGCAATTTTTTATAGTGACATTTTGAAAAAATGATACAGTTTTAAGTTTAACAGATGCGAAATATTTCTGATCGATTGATGATAAAATTATTGAAATTGGTCCAGGGGCAGCTGAGTTATTAACGTTCAAAATCTTTCATAATTTTGTTACATGTTCCATTTTTGATTTTCACAAAGTGTACCCCCAAATAGAAATTACGGACGTAGTCCTACGTTAAAATCGAAACGATTTTATCGGTTAAAGTTAAATGAATAAACGATTAAATTCAGAGACAGATAACGACTTATACTCAATCAACTGATTAGCAGGGCAACATGGGTTAATCAGGTGTTTGATACGGAGATTGATTAGAATAAAGTTAATGATAAATAAGGTTCGATCGATCTATATTTTGAAATCGACTTTGCATCCTTAATCTTCGCATTCTGTAAAAATAAACTTCCATTACTTCATTCTCCAATATCAACCAACAAATGCCTAGCGGCATACTCGAAACCGTTTGATCAACTTACATACAGTTCAATTCTGTCACCAACATGTGACAAACTCTGATAAGCGTGTGCCCCCTTGATTAAAGGCAAAATAAACAAACTGCAGACATCTTGAAACGTCTACCAGTTTTATAATCAACACCCAACCAATAAATGCGGTAGCTCTTTTTGGAACTACACACTCACTTGAAAGTACCCATTAATGGGTAAAAGTACCTATTTTGATGAAACGTGATTTAACTCATTAATGAGTAATTTTTGACCCATCGATGAGTACCTTTTGTAAAAGTTACTCATTCAAAGGTAACAGTCACTCATTAATGGGTAACAGTTACTCATTGATGGATCAAAAATTTTCTCAATAATGTGTTAAACACCACTTTACTTCAAAATGGGTATTTTATTAACCATTGATGGGTACTTTCAAGTTAGCGTACAGGCATGTCTTTTGCGGGAGTCACTTCCCGTTTCCCTTTCGTTATTGCCATGATTGATTTCATATCTAATACTAGCTGTTCTCACAAAACGTTTTCCCTTTCTCTTTCGTTTCCAGATCCAGTGCCTCCATACCTCGCCGTTGCCCGACTCGAACGAAAAGTATGACGTCGTCCGGAGTGGCGTCGTCGTCCCCCAAACGGCGGCTGCCCCAGCTGGCGCTGGTGGCGCTACTCGTCCTGCTCAATGCCGTCACGACTTCATCTACCTCATCCTCGTACGTCTGCCCAAAGGGTTGCGAGTGCAAGGACGCCAGTATCACGTGTACCAGCGTGACCGGCTTGCGAAGCATCGACAAGAGTCTTCCCATCAAGCGGTTGGTCCTGTCCGGATTGGAACTGAAGAAGATTCCCGCTCAGCTGGAGAACATTCGAAACATCACCGAGTTGGATCTGTCCAACAATCACCTGTCGGAGGTGAGCCACCTGGGCCGGAGAATACGACGACTCAATCTGAGCCAGAACCGAATCACCTCCGGGAAGCTGTCGAAGGTTCCGCAGTTTGTGGAATCGCTGAATCTGTCGCACAATGATATCACCTACCTGCCATTGTACTTGATGAAACTGAAGAAACTGCGATACATTGAGCTGGCGGACAATCCAATCAACTGCACTTGCGAGACGCTGCACATTCGGAACTGGCTGACGACGCGGCACGTGTGGTCCGATCAGCACATCAAGTGTAGCGCACCGCAGGAATTCAAGGGTAGACCGTGGTTGCAGGTCAAGCAATCGGACGTGTGCCATGGCGCTGGGGGGCGCGATGAAGGTTACAATTGGGATGACTACGAGGATGAAAACGATCTGATGCTGGGGGATCAAGCAGACTTGGAAGATGAAGAGGAGGAAGATGAGGATGACTTCAAGAAGGAGTATTTCCCTGTTGGGGAGAAGCTAAAGTCCCAGGATCCTCCGATTGAAATTCAAAACGATGACGAAGTGGAGGGTGGCTCGGGTGATGAATTGTCGTCGGACATTGGAGAAGAGGAAAAAGCTGAGGCTAGGAAGGCAGTTGATTTGGCAATGACCGAGGGATCTGGTGAGGCAAATAACGAGACTGGACAGTATGTTCTAGTAGGTCAGATGCAGCATGGTGGGGAAGAAGATGAAGATGATGATGGAAGTGGTAGCGGCGGTGGTGTTTTGCTCACTGGCGTCAGAGGAATTGATCTTGACGAGACGTCAGAAGGTCCCAAGTCTGATGATGGATTCGACGAGGGTGGTGAAAGTGAAGAGAAGCCTATTACTCCTTTTGAAGGTAATTTGGGTATTTTTCAAGAAAAACCTGAAGATGACACGACGGTTTCGCATGATACGGAGTCGTCAGATGACATAGTTCCTTTCAAAGCAGTTGTTGATGTTGATAAGGGTACTACAGGAGCTACAGATAGCTCAACCGAAAAAGAAAGTGCAAACATTATCAACGAATCGAACGTGGCCGATTCGGATAGTAAAGGAACTTATATTCTATTGGCTATTCTTGGAATCATTTTGGTTTGCTTGATTGTTCTGGTGATGTGCAAGCGGAAACCAGACTCTAGAAATCGTCGTGGTAAGGCTGATCTGGAAGCTGCTCGAGGTCGCGAGTTGCAAGATATGGACAAGAGTCTTCTGGGTAAGCCACTGGAGAAGAATGGTCATAAAGTGCCGGAGCAAGCGCCTTTGATGAACGATCGCGACAAGACCGACTACCAGAAAGTCTTCAACGACAAAACAAACAACTACGCTCCTGCAAAACCGGAGCGAACCTCGCTGGAGAAACCAACCATGGAGACGTTCAAACCAATTCCAGCCGATAGAAACAAGAGCAAAGAAAGCCTCTACGAAAATGTGCCTCTAAATGACAATAACAATACGGTTCCGCTACAGAACGGAAACGGACATTTACGTAACGGTGAACCAGCCGGAGTTCATCAACCCAATCACAATGTGCCATCCCAGGACGATGAAGAGCTCCTACCGCCAAACGGCAATCCCAATCATCTTCAGCCAGAATCCGTCGAATCGCCCAAATCCAAGCGCTACAGCCCCATCTACGTGCCCACGTCACCCAAGTCCGATCGCTACAGTCCGGTGTACTCGCCGGAAACCGGACGCGTCAAAATCAAACTAACCGAAACTCCCAAACCAAAAACTCCCATCTTGGTCACGCGAAGTCGATCGAGAGCCGGAGATTACATAACGACAACCGACCAGAAGTTCTGATCCACGCTGCACAGACAACGACAACAAAGACGACGGTTCACCTTGTGGATTTTGCTGCAGCCTTCCTAACGAATCCGGGACGTCACGAGTTCGGTGACGTCCGTCTAGGCACTACTAATCCGGACGAGCGGTCCGGGTTTGTTTTATTTTTTTAAATCGACACTGAACATCCGTTATCGGTGAAATATCCGAACCGATAAGAGTTCGAAAGAGTATATCGAGTCAGAAATTTGTGTATAGATAACCAGCCGTTGGGCATTGAGCTCCCATCGTTCAACCTTACGTAACTGTCACGTACGCTCAAAACTGTCTATTTCTTAGGTAGATATATTCGGGAAATGTAAAAAAAAAAATCAAATTATAGCCCTGAAAAAGCGGCATGGGAAAACCTTTCAGAAACATGCATATTCATAGGAAGAAGAATTTACAGTAATTTAGTTGTGAAGATTATTTAAATACTAAGTCATCATGAAAGTGCACAAACCATTTTGAAACTGAATCCCCACTGTGACGGATGATCGACCAGTCGATGGCAATATATGAAACTAATCAAAATAACCATGCGGACGCCGGAAAAGTACCGTAAAAGTATGTTTTAAAATTAATAACCAACAAAAAAATCAATTGTGATAGCCAAACGAATGAATGGAAATCAACCGAAAACGAAATCATCCAATAAGATTAATAACTAGCAAGCAAAAGAACAAACCCAATCGATCACGCAACAAGCGTAAACGTTCCTGAACCACACCCCCGCGCGTGCAACAACAAAAGACCATTTAGCAGTAATTGAATCGTCCCCCTCCATTCTGACGATCGTCACTGGAATGTAAATATTATCGTTCAAAGAGTAAATAATACCGATTCCCCTCCCGCGCATCCAGTTTAGGGATATGTGCTCCCAGCTGCTGCAATTGTAATGGATAAAGATGCCAATAAATTATACAACATACATTATAGAACTAAGCTATCATCCGTTCGGTATCAACATGGGAACGAAGTCAACTAAGTCCATTTATTGTGTTAGGATTTTGCTGTAGTGTATGATTCTGTTCAGGAAGTAAGAAAATTCGGAACCAGAAAATAGTTTAATCCATGAAAAAATAAAATGATTAAGTTAAAGCAAAAAACCAGGAACAGAATTTTGGATTTTCATACCCGTAGGAGAATGGTAAAACTGGCTGCCTTATGAACATTTTGAAAACGGAGAAAAAAAATTAGTCGAGCAATAAAAAGTAGAACACGAATGTCCGCTAGCGGTTTGCAATCAGTCTCTGTGTCAGGAATAGGAAGTTTGTTAAGTTTTAATAATTTAACGAAAGTGAAGAAATACTATTGTATATGTATTTTAAATAAATTATATTAGAAGTTAACACTGTCGTAAATGGTGGGTTGCTTGTTTCGTTTGCGATATCCGAAAGCAGAACGTTAGAAGACCACCCAACTGCCGTTAAAGGCATACTCGTCCCATGTTATATGTGGAGTTGTATCATTATGCTGATGGTAATGATGTAATGATGGTGGTCCGACCTCTTACCCCTACAAAGGTTTGAGCGGGACGATTTATCTTTAAGATAATTAAATATAACATTTTAACCAGGTTTGAAAACAAAATCGAACTGGTTACAGTTACAGATATAAATTCCCTCTAGAGTTTACAGTTGCTTCACAGTGATATAAATGTGGAAAAGCTCAGGCGTTAAACTCTTAGTTCGCCTTTTTGTCCACCTAAAATATTCATAAGTATAACAAGCGATCAAGAGTTAATGAACAATCAACAATGCATCCTATTACACAAGCAACCCCGCAATCTGATGCTATCATAATTTTCAGCTATGTCAGGAATGCTCACGAACCCCCGACATTTGCCAGAAAACTTACTACTAACTCAAGGTATCTTCCAAATAAGCTTCAAAATTGCATTTTGTTTTATCAAATGTTAAATTCAGTCCTCTAGATCAAACCTTTGTAGACCCCTTTTTTAAATTAATCTACTACTATTAAATCAAATATTAAAAATCCATCATAACCATCGTGGCGAACAAAAATAAGTGTTTGCAGCGCTACGATAATTATTAAAAAGTCATTATGACAGCTATCCATACAAAATAATCCGTTATAGATAACTTCGTCAAGATACATAATTTGTCAATTTATAAAAAAAAAAAATCACTGGTTAACTGTTCAAACGACAGATTTGACGTGTAAAATGCAGTGTCTTATAAATTCTGTAAGTGTTGCAGAACGTTTGATATGTCTAGGCATCGAATTGAAAACATTTATTCCTTTAAAATATAATGAATTTTGTGAAGCACAATCAAGAAATGTTGTGTTCTTATTTCAACCGCGTTTCTAGTATTATATCAATGAAAGTCACTTCCTCTTTCAATTCGATCACACAAATATCGAGGCAGCAAACCGTTAACTACTTTAAAAATGAACACTATAGTCAAATATACAATTCTTTGCTTCACCGACAACCACTGTAAGGCATTTAGCATTAAAGTTGACGAAGTGAATCCTTTACATCTCAAAATGAAACGCATTATTTTATCCTGCAAGCGCTATAATCTCGATATTTGTGTTTCATTTGCCAGAAAAAAAATGGAAGGGCAAAAGTCAAGATGAGGAGCGATGATTGATTTGTTAAGCTGTATTTTACTGGCAATAGTTAAATCGTTTTTCAGTCGACATAGTATTCCATTCTTGGCAATTTTCTTGATGACATTGTCAATGTGAGAGTTAAACTAAAGGTTGTTATCAATAATCACGCCAAGTTGTTTAATCCCCCGAACGCGATCAATAGTCTCATCATCAATTACAGCAGAGACGTTCTCATTTAATCGATTCCTCAAAATTTCCATAAATTTAGTTTTACTTGTTTTCAATTTCAACTGCTTATACTTCAACCATCTACTTAGAGAACGTAAATCTTCATTCAAGTGTAAAACGGATTCTAAATCCTTAGCTGCAATGAATAACACACTATCATATGCAAAAAGATTAATGTCGCAAAATCGTAAAACATGTCGCAAGTAATTAATATACATAATAAATAACAGGGGCCCTAATACACTTCCCTAGGGGCCTCATAGCCTAGTCAGTAAAGGGACGGTATTACCAAGCCGGAGGTCCGGTCGAGGGAATCTTACGGGTTGGAAATTTTCTCGACTTCCCTGGGCAAAGTGTCTCTTTGTGCTTGCCACACAATATACAAATTCATGCATTGGTATTGGCATCGAAAGCTCTCAATTAATAACTGTGGAAGTGCATTTAGAACACTAAGTTGAGAGCACGCAATAAGCTTATATGCGCTAAGCAATAAGCTTGAAATGCGAACAAGAAGAAGAAGTAATACACTTCCCTGGGGCACTCCAAGGCTATTCCCCACGGGACTGAAAACAGAATCATTAAAAACAGTCCGTTGAGTTCTGTCAGACAAATAGCTTTCAAACCATTTGTATGCAGTACTCGTAATTCCAAAGCGCTTGATTGAGCTTAGCAATAAGGGCCTAGAAATTGTTTCAAAATCGCGTTTAAGATCCAAAAAAACAGCAACAATCGTATCTTTACACTCCAAGTTATTTTTCCACTTTGCTGATACCAAATTTAACGCGGTTTCACAAGAATGACCTTCCCGATATCCCGATTGTTCTGGTATCAACAAACCATTACTATTTAAACATTCCAGCAGCTGGCCTTTAACAAAAAGTTCTAAAATTTTGTCTAAAGGGTGATACGGTCAAAATTTGGTCAAGGGAAAACGCGTGTAAATCGGTGAAATCGTTTATTTAAAAAATCAAATTAAATTTCTTTTTCAAGTTCAATTAGTATAAAATTCAGGAAAAATATTCAGTTAGGCTTCCGCTTTTCCAAATCCGAATTGCCGGGCCTTACGCTTGACCCCTGCCATCAGATTTTGTACAGCCACCTTGTCCACCTTCTTCGCCGCAGAAAGCCAGTTTGCCTTGAACTGCTGCTCGCCCTTAGCTATTTTTTTGGTCTTCTTTAGGTTCCGCTTGACAATAGCCCAGTATTTCTCAATTGGGCGGAGCTCTGGCGTGTTGGGAGGGTTCTTGTCCTTGGGAACCACCTGCACGTTGTTGGCGGCGTACCACTCCATGGCCTTTTTACCGTAATGGCAAGATGCCAAATCCGGCCAAAACAGTACGGAACAACCGTGTTTCTTCAGGAAAGGCAGCAGACGTTTATTCAAACACTCTTTCACGTAAATGTCTTGGTTGACAGTCCCGGAAGCTATGGAAATGCTGCTTTTCAAGCCACAGGTACAGATGGCTTGCCAAACCAGATATTTCTTTGCGAACTTTGACAGTTTCATGTGCTTGAAAACATCTGCTACCTTTCCCCTTCCTTTTGCCGTATAAAACTCCTGTCCCGGAAGCTGCTTGTAGTCGGCTTTGACGTAGGTTTCGTCGTCCATTACCACGCAGTCAAACTTCGTCAGCATCGTCGTGTACAGCCTCCAGGATCGCGCTTTGGCCGTCGTATTTTGTTTATCATCGCGATTTGGAGTCACTACCTTCTTGTAAGTCGATAGTCCGGCTCGTTTTTTGGCTCGATGCACGGTTGCAGACGATACACCCAGCTTATTTGCGGCATCTCGGAGAGAGAGGTTAGGGTTTCGCTTGAAACTACCGGCAACTCTCTTTGTCGTCTCAGCGGCTCCCGGTTTTCGATTTCCCCCCGATCCAGACTTCCTGGCTGTCGACAAACGTTCCCCAAACACTTTAATTACATTTGTAACGGTTGATTTGGCAACTATTAGCGATTTTGCCAACTTTGCGTGCGAGTAGCTCGGATTTTCGCGATGCGCGAGCAAAATTTTGATACGCTGCTCTTCTTGCTTGGACGGCATTTTGACAACTGAAGAGTGAATTCCAAAATCAAAATAGGAGCAACATTCTACACACACACACCTTCAAAATGAGGGGTGTTCAGGTTTTTTAAATGCAAAATTGAAAGAAATACGTCAAGTTGATATTGACCAAATTTTGACCGTATCACCCTTTAATGTGTGCAACATGTTTCCAAGGATTCCTTCCAAACTTGTGGCACGTGTCCAGTTTGCAATGATTCATTAATAAGGTCCAGCAAGATGTGGCCAATGACATGAAAGCTATCTTGAATAACTCTAGCATTAACATTATCTACTCCAGCCGATTTTTCTAATGAAAACCTTCAAATCTACAACTACTATTAACTGGCTGTTTTATTTTGTCAGGTTCATCGACCAATTAATTGACCAATTAATCAATGAAACACTGTAGACAAAATAATCATTTAAATTTAGATGCAATTACTTGTTTTGACTGTTCTAATGTGCCACTAAAAGTTATGGACCGCGGTTTACAATTACTAGGTTTTAATAAAGATTTAAAAATTTGCTTGCTGATCAACCTTTCTTTGAAAATATTCACAACGAGTTTTCTTTATCAATTGTGAATACTTATTACGCGCGAGTGTGTACCAATTCCAATGATTGTCATTATTTGATCTACAAAACTTGTTGTACCATTTGTCTCTTTTTCTTTTCAAAGATCCAAATTGTAGCAGCTGTTCGAGTTTTTCAAAGAAACAAACTTTTGCTCAACTAGTCAGTGCTGTGGTTGTGGATAGTCGAGGGTAGTTGACGACTACTTAGCTCCAAACCAAAAAAAAAGTTAAAAAATAGATATAATAGAGCAATCCAACTAGCGTTTTTGGGGGTTAAACAAAGCCCTAGAGTACGCAAATTTGGCCAATAGATGCTTTGAAACACAATGTATCAACATGTCAAAATTGAGCTCTCACGGACATTGTTTACCCCCTAACGATAATAGGTTAAGGTATTGCCAAAGCCAACATTTCCCCTACATGTTCAGAAAAAAAATTAAACATTTATTAAATTTGGTAAAATCTGAAGAAAAAAAATTAAATAGGGAAAATTGAAAAAAATAAATGAATTAAAAATATGTAGTCTGGTAGACATGTTCAGGAAACAATGCTAAATTTCAAGTGGCTTACACCTCTGGTAGACAAATAAGTTAATTTTTAAATGGCTAGTGCACCTGTTAAACATGTTCAGGTTAAAATGGACAAACATCTTAAATCAGAATAAAAAAATTAAAAATTAAACATTTGATCAGGTATAAAAACCTTTATATTTGAAATGATTTGCGCCTTTGGAAGACAACTTGATGAAAAAAATTGAAAAATATGTAAAATTTGAAATGGCTTGCTCCCCGGGTAAATATGTACAGGTAAATTTAAAATGTTTTGTGGTAAACATGATGTAGGAAAAATTTATAAATAAATATTTTTTTTTGTTCATTAATTTATTTGATAAGGCTCAACCGAATTAACTTTACAGAGCCGAGGATTCTTG